CGAAATAAAAGAACAATAAAACATAAGTAAAATAAAAGTTATTGAATTAAGTGTAAAAAAACATTTATTTACGTAATATAATATATAAAATATTAAAAACTATAATAAAAAAAACTAAAACTAGTAACTTAATTATCATACAATCCTACTCCCCGCGGTATCGTGCTAAGAACGCTGGCTGCGTTTCCCCGCTGAATGGCTATACTTAGCCTTCGAGCGAGAAAAGAATAAGCTCTCTTATCACTAGCAACAACGACCAGCCGCGGGTGGAGTTCCTTTTATAGAGACAAGAGCCTTTCGGATGACATCGTTCAAAGAACCATGCCTTGTCGACGCTGCTACCACAGAGGCACTGATGGGATTGACAAATCGCCGCTCCTAGTCGTATTCCTACGGCGATGCGCAAGCTTTCACCATCAAGTAATTTGCCGAGATGACTTGATGGTAAAGCGTGTAATCGGTAACTAGATTCCTTAGTCGAAACAGCTAGAAGGCGTGCCTTATCTTGGTCACTATGTAAATTATGAAACAAATCTTTCTGCACCTACTGTACCAATGGAATATCCCACTTTATTTGTTGGTTAACTTCCAGTAGAACATTTTTGCCGGGACAGAGCTTTTGCCCTGCCCCCGTAGCGAAACCCAAGTCTACTTTATTATTTAAAATTATATTACATAATCACTGATATTTTGCACAGAAGCAAGAAAAGCAGGAAATGCAACGCTAAAAAGATTTCTAATACCTCCAAATTTTATAGGTAAAGTAGCTTGAGTCCAGGCTGTTGTATTTAAAGTTAATTTTCGAATTTTTTCTATAGCTATTTTAAGATTTTTATCAATATCTTTTAAAATATCCGAACATTTCCAGACTGGACTCGAGCGGAGTAAGTATGTAAAAAAGGAGTTTTTTTTTTTTGTACCTAGGTACAAGGAGATTTCAAAATAATAAGAGCAGTGTGGGGGTTTTATTTATACATTTTATCAACGTGGTTTTAAAACTAATGGAAATTTGTTTTAAAACAGGTTTAATACTATCGAAAACCAACGGGGCACCTAGCAGGTATAGTGACTCCATATTGACAGTTTTTATTCCTGGAGAAATATGATTGAAATTTTGAATTAAGATTTGTTTGACATAAAATATTTCACATTTATTGCTATTTGGTTCAAGACCAATATCTTTAAAATTTCGAAAAAATATAAGTAAGATCACTGGGAACGTCATCTGCTCTACCTCTCATTGTTCCACCTTGCAGGTACCAGACATTCAGCTTGGATTTCAAATTTGAAATAATAGATTGAATTCCCAAACTCAAAAGTGCGGGACCTAGTGGGTCACCCTGCTGAACACCGACAGCAAAAACTGTTGTCGTAAAACAAATTAGTATTTTGACTGCCCATTTTTCCAACATTGCCAAACGTAATGGTAAATTTTGGGGGCTATTTAGCCACTTCTTTCAACAGGGTCACCCTCTGGATAGAGTTAAAAACATTCATCTACGGTGTGATGCCGATGTTCTTGTGAAGGTCAACCTTCACAAGAACATCTGCATCAGAGTTTGTTAAAAATGTACGCACTGAATGTGCCGCCTCCTCACAGCCTTCTCTAGTGTTAAAGACTAATTGAATATATTGAAATTTTGTCTAATTTGTTAGAGATTATGTGCCTGCAAGCTAATTTTGAAGTTAAGCGTCGAAATGTGGAACTAACAGCAATAGGGCGGATACCGTTATCCTTTTTTTTTGAGACACATAATCTTGCCCCATATAAGAATGCAATGAAATTTAGATTTACATTACCAGAAAGCATAAAGTTACATAATTTTGTAATGTCATTAAGAAGTACTCCGCCAGCGTCACCCGCAGAAGCGCTTACAAGATCTTTAAGATGTTGAGGCGTAAATGCCGCCAGTAGAGCCATTCGAAAATGACATAATTGCTTCTAAAGTTTCTTTTTCAAAAATTGGTAAGGGTTACATGGAAGTTTTGGGAGGCAGCGGTAAACCCTGAGAAGTTTTGACCGAAGGATGCTTCTGACGAAGGCTTTCAAGAGTTTCGACATTACTAGGAGCCAGGATGTCATCTGAGAATAACACGGGATGCATTTTTTAAGTCAACTACTTTTACTTTAACTACTTTTTTAAATCAAATTTAGGACGTGATCGAGATAAATTTGATTAATTTGCTTAATTGGGTAATCTCAATTTTGAAAAGATGTCTCTTATTGTTGAGACGTAATTGATTTAGTTATTGTTTTATCAAAATGAAAATGAAAATACGCGAATGTAAATAATTTTGCCAACTTTTTTCACTATTAGTGAAACAATTTTGAATAGTGCATGACAATGTTTTATATAGGATTTTGGTTGAAACTTCCATATCTCGTTGTGTTTTAAGAGTAAACAAAATACTAAAGCGAATCCCTCAACATCATAATGTGAAATATTGACTAAAAATATTAGGTCAGGTACGCTGTTCATCGCTTTTTTTCTTTCTTTTTTTCTCTTTTTTTTTTTAAAAAAGCGTTACCCCCACACTAGGATTTTCTCCTGTGTCATGGAGGCAGTTTACAAACATAAATTGCACAAGGACAAACATCCAAACCCGGAACAATTATTTGTAGGCCATACAAATACTTGTTCCGTGCGGGATTCGAACCCGCGGCCCCCAGCGCAACAACTGATTGCTAAGCCACTGCGCCACGGAGCCGTCAAACACACACAGCTTATTACTTCGCAAAAATCTACTTTATAAAATAAAATGATGTGTCTTACCTAGTATGAAGAGTACCTCCCGCCCTCCCAATATTGACGACTAAATACTACAGCTCATTCGCTTGATTTCATGTTTTATTTTCAATTAAAAGTTTTGGTACTTTAGAGTATTTATTACTATAATACTAATAAATTTATTTCATTGGGGCGTGGTCTAATTTAGACAAAATTACTGTCAACTTACTATACAAACTAAAAACTATAATTATCACATAGTTCTACACCCCACGGTGTAGTGCCTAAAACGCTGGCTACGTTTCCCCGCGCAATAGTTATACTTTGAGCGAGAAAAGAACCAGCTCTCTTGTCTTCAGTTACAATGCCTGTATAGAACCTTAACTGCGCGTGGACTCTAAGGGCAGATAGTCTCTTACACAATTTAGTCATCTTCTTGAGCCTTTAACGCTACTTTCGTCTTTTATCCAGTTCAGGCAGATAACATTTTTCAAATATAAAATTAATTTTTACGTGGTACATAAATGCTGCTTTCATGGTTGTAGGATGAACAGGTCTCAATTGGAGAAGGAACACAGAATACTAGCGTAAAATTGGAACTTAATTAAGTGTTTCGTGTGGTGCGTGTAGAGACCTGGAGAAACTTTTTACTGGAAATAAGGCATTCCATCGTAGTCCTAAGGGGTTAAAACACGTCTGCAATTTGATTCTTACTCCAAGATAATGTAAATGTCTTTGAACCACAGCACCTACTTTTACATGTGGATTGTGTGCTCAATTTTCCATCTTATTTTATTAAAAAACTATATTTTTAAAACCCATTTACATATAGGCTGTAATGCGTATAATGGTAATCATTATACGCATTACAGCCTATAAAAGTCCACAGCCGAACATAAAGATAGAGGATTTTGCCATAGTGTCTACTGACTACGCTTGGCCGGTGGATTTTTTATTATTCTGAGTAGTGTGATGATAAAAAAATAATGTTATGATTTACGTCATAATTGAGATGGGTCATTTTTCTCAAAATATTGGAGGGTAGGGACTGGTTACGGACAGCGGAGGGCCGCAGTCGTGATCGCAAGAAGTGGTAATTTTTGTCAGACATTGGAAGTTTGATGCACAAAAGTTTACGTACATATTATAGCTGTGTATCAGTGAATTTTGTATTATTTAAATACATATTTTATTCCTGGAACGTTAATTTTAGAGGTGCAACGGGGTAAGTGTTTAATAGTATTTCTTATGTTGTAGTCTGAGTAACTTTGCGATACAATTCTTAGATTATGCACTTATTTCAGTCTGTGGAAACGCCCATTAAGTTAATTGTGACTATACGCCTTTCTGTATCTCTGGCAAAGAGTTATTAGAAAATCTACTTCGTCATAAAAACATGAGGACATAGAGAGATGAATCTATATCGTAATTTGATTTGAAACGTCATCGGCAGGCATAGTCTATCGGGATAGCGGCCAAACACATTGGGCGACTTCTTCAAATTCATGGTTCAAACCTCCGAATAAAAATATTGAAATTTATTTTTGTAATTTTGCTTTTTCTTTTATTATTTATTAAGTCTGCATTTTTTGTAATGATACTTTATTTATAAGTCTCGTTTACATAAGTAAAAGAACTAGTGGTAAGTTTTATGTTTTATTATATTTCATTTTATTTTCTAGTTAATGCGTAGCTGTAGAATTAGTTAAAATTTTAGTGCTTACATATCTTAGAGTTAGGATAATTTGTAGTTTTTATGCTTAAAACTATTTAGTTAATTGTTTCGTAGTGTTGAGTTGTTGTAGGCTTTTATGTTGCAATTAAATAACTTACACCAAAAATACCGCATATCTATTTGTTTCTTATCTTGTCTGGACCCCGACCTCTAGGACTTGAGTAAACCCATGACAAATGGCGCCCACGGGTAAAGATCCTTGAAACAATGAGGATCAGTAAAGTTATAGAAAATTCAATAAAACTAGTATCCATGTTATTCTTTATGAGATAAGAATTATATATCTTTTTGAAATAGCCAAATCGGACCATTATTTACGAAGATATTAAGTAATAAACATAGGCCGTTTCTGTCGCTAAAAGTCGATGTACGCAGGTCCGCGTGACGTCACAGCGACGGAAACGAACGCGTCATAGTAGTTCATACATGTATTCTGTGGTAGTTCACGATTCGTTGGAGTGCGGAGACGCGGTTGGGCACTATATTTAGAAATTTATTTGAATAAAGTGTTGTTACAGTATAATTTTGTGATTGTTTAAGTATTAAACGTACATAATATGAGTGCTAATAAAGTAGAAGCTAGTTTTGTGCAAGCTCAATCAGATAACCTTCCAAAAGTGGATTCTTTCATGGTATTTGATTATCTAAGTAATCATTCTAAGTTCACCAGCGCCGAAATCCGTGGTTGGAAACTACAAAGGTAAGGGTGCTGCTTATTTATCTACGTTCGTAGGTACTTATTAGTAATCTTTAGGAATAAGCTGTATAGGTAAATGAAAGAAAGAATGAATGTTGTATAGTTACAGGGACGTATTCATAACTTATGAATAAAGTGCTTATAGTATCTTGATAAAAGGAATGTTGTCTTCGTTCATACATATGTAGATCATTTTGCAGATGGTTTTTTAACTTACTTGCATTTTATTTAGTGCATGGTTCCCTACACTTGCTGATCTATGACAGAAACCTTAATATTGGTTGCCAATGGCAGTTTTTTTTTTGTCATCTTGCTCATTGTTACAAATCATTCGTTCAGTATGTATTTAAGTAGGATGACTTGTATTGTATAAATGAAAAGTGTATATAATACTAGCGAACGCCCGAGGCTTCGTACGCATAGACTACTATTTATTTATCGTAGAGGAACCGTGTATTTTTCCGAGATAAAATACTTTTTATACCAGAAAAATGCACGGTTGCTGTAAAATTTCATACATATCTGTTCAGCAGTTTTTGCTTGAAAGAGGAGCAAAGATCCATTCATCCTCATAAACTTTCACATTTATAATATTAGTCGGAAGTAAGATAGTAGGATAGGATAGAATGTTGTTATTTGTATATTTTTATTTGTTTTTTTTTTATTTATTACAGATCAGCACGTGAAACCTATGGAGATGATGCTGTAGGATTTGTTCAAGTCCAGAGGTCGGGACATGTATGTACGGTAAAAGCAAAAATAACGCCTGAACATAGAATAAAAAGTAAAGCGTATAGCTGTACATTTACATGTGATGAAAAAGAGGAAATGGTTTTGAACGTGAACTGTCATGACTGTGCTGCTCAAAAGGGAGGCTGCAAACATAGCGTAGCATTTTTGATGTGGCTTCATAGACGCAGCGAAGAGCCATCTCCTACTGAAAAAAAATGTTACTGGGCCAAACCAAAGCTGGCTACTATAGGTACTAAATTTATAAAAGCTAAAGATATGGGTCCCAGCTCAGTTACTACTGAAGATAAAAATACTGATAACACCAATTCAGATCAGTTTTTCCTAGCAGTTGTGCAAAGCCTAAAGGAAAATTCTATCAAAAATCAGTTATCAGTATACGTTACAAAGAATGAGTATAAAAAATTGTCTTTGCATAACCTCGTTCATCAATACAAAAATGAAGGCAATAATATAAATAGTGCAGATGATTTTATTGATTATTGTTCTACTAAAATCACCATAGAGAAATGTCACAAAGCAGAGGAAGCAACAGTTTGTCAAGCTAGTTCACCGTTATGGCATGAGTTAAGGTATTGTAGAATAACCGCGTCTAAAGTTCACGAAGCCGCACATTGCAAGACTCCTGATGGTGCTTTGATTGAAAAAATATTTGGTGCCTATGTACCAGAGACTCTGTCTATGAAAAGAGGCAAACGATTGGAATCCAATGTCAGAGCAGAAGTAGCCAAAACAAGGAAAATAGTTATTGAAAATTGTGGTTTCTTTTTAAAACCTGATTGGCCTCATTTGGGTGCTTCTCCGGATGGATTGACAAGTGAATACGTAGTAGAAATAAAATGTCCCTCGACAAAGAAAGGAAAGGAAAGTTTTGTAAAGAATAGTGTTATCGGCAGCAAATGGAAAGCTCAAATTCAGCTACAAATGTTTTTTTGCAATAAAGTCAAGGGATTGTTTTGTGTAGCTAATGAAAATTTTGAAAGCAATAAAAAAGTGGAAATATTTGAAGAAGATTATGATGAAAATTATTGTACTGATCTTTTAGAGAAGTCCACGCATTTTTGGAAAACATCAGTGTTTCCGAAACTGGTTGAGACTTAAAATTATTCTTTTATTAATAATATAACATGTGCTTTTGATGTTGCGAGGTTGTCCAAATAAAACTATAAAAGAAACGAAAGCATTTTGTTTTTATACTTGATTACTAAATAGACAATTCTGTAAATTAACTAAGCCACAGGCTATTGTTACAATATTATCCAAAAAATGTATGTATGAAATATCGACACATGCGTGAGGTCCGATCATTTTAAAGTCTCTCAACTTCCCTATGCTTCTTTCAACGTGAACTCTTATAGCAGCGATTCTCTTTGTTTGCAAGACTTCCTCTGCTGTAAGTTTTGAGTTGGAACTCACACTAGGTGGCCTCAGAAGTGTACAACCACGTTGTTCCAGTAAATGGGAAATATTTTTGAAACCCCTATCAGCTAACACAATACTTCCTTGTGCCAATTTGTCAAGAAATCCGCTGTCTTCAAATATTGTTGAGTCTGGAGTCCTCCCTCCATATCCCTCTGAGATAAAGTTTATCAAACCGTCAGGTGTAATTGAAATCAAGTACTTAATGGTATTGCAGCTTTTATATTGAGACCATGTAGCCGCTTGGTGCGAAGCGTTACTAGGTTTCTCGATTTGAATTTCAAAACAATCGATTATTGAAATCGCTTTAGAATAGCGCTTCCTAAAAGCTATCGGCAAGTTTTCTCTGACATCATCTGCTGATGGCCAGATAATAAGTCGATTCAGGCACAGTGCAATTTTTGGGAGAGTTTTATTAAAATATTTAGTCACAGAACTCTCAGAGAGGCCAAAATGTATTGCAAGCATTGAGTTTGGGTCATGCCATCGGATTTTTCGTAAAGTCACTAGGATTTCAATAGATGATATTTCCGTGAAGTTTTGTAAATGTTTGATACAAAAATATGAATGGGCAGGAATGCCTATCAGTAATTTTGGATCTCGAGATATAGCCATTAGAGCGCCCTTTTGCATATGCTCATTGAAGAAATTTTTGTTCATCGTTTTTGTTATTTCTAAATCATTCGACTCGTTATCACTAGCATTAACACCAAAAGAACGAGTATTTTCACTTGAGTTTGAGTTGCTGATCGTGAAGCTAACGTTTGGATCAAGATTTTTAGGGATTACTTTTTTTTTAACTATTGGTTGTTTCCATTTCATTGGCGTATTATTAGATTTAGTTTTCATTTTTGGTTTCATATTAACCTGCACTGCTTGTGTTTTTTGACTCCTTACATTGTTTTTTGATAATACGTCTATTTCTTCAGGTATGTTAAGGGGATCACTGTTTTGGATGTTATTTGAGTCTTGATTTTCACACTCTACTACTTCAATGGAATGCAACAACAGGTCTTCGTGTCCAATATCTCTACTTAAAATTCTTTCAAAATATTCAATGTCTTGTCGTTTTTTAAAACCGGGTCTGTCAATTTTCTTTTTTTGGGGCTTTTGGCATTCAAACTTATGAGGCAAAACTCCCTTCTTTAGTTTAAGCTTTCCTCCAACTAACTTAAACTTTACGTAATTTTCCATATCTTCTTCTAACTGAAAATATAAAAATGAATATAAGTATTAATTTATTTGCTTCTAACAATAAGGCATAGCTGAGGCAGATACATAAATTCACCGCTGTAATGTAAATGATTAAAGAATATTATCATTCACTCTTTGCTTTTTACCCGAGTACGTCTCTATGTCATTGTTTTAACCTTGGAATACGAAATACGATGTTTTCACATATAAACCACAGATTACTGTATACCAGTCTACGATATAAACATCTGAACCGATTTTAATGACTTTTGGTATAGAAATAACTGAGATCTTTAAATGGCTACTTTTCATCGCAAAAATAAAACTTTAAGGGGATGAAATAGAGGTGAGATAAAAACTTTCTGTGACAAACTGAATTCAACGCGGGTGAAACCGCAGGCAAAAGCTAGTAATACATAGAAATGGGAACGGGCGAATATATAGGTTTACGTTAGTACGTAGGTTTATCAACAAAACTTAGAAAAAGTAAATAGGTATGATTTTATTAATACAGGAGGCTTAAAATAAGAGAATACACACGTACACTACACGTAACATAAGGTACCAACTTATTTCCATATCAACTAAATAATAGGTATAATAGATATGTAGGTACGTACATCGAAGTGATCTTCACAGCAATGTCTTGTAGCCTGGGCAGAGGGTGTAGTTTTATCATCTCTTTTTGCAATGGAATACCATTTTTTACGAAGTTTTGGGTCTTTCGGTACGTTAAAAAATAGTTTTTCTGGTGTTTTAATAGAAGTGTTTGTACATTTCGGCACTATACAATATTTATACATAGTTAAAAAGGTGAATTAGACACAAATCGGACACTTAACTTGTTTCAAAGTCACAATTAACCAAACAAAACACTGCGCGCCTTATCGCTGCCAACGGCTAACTGGCGAAGACCGTCATAGTGACGTCACAGCTACCGCGCCGGGCTGTCAGTGAACTTCGCTAGTAATTTGGTAATAACTTCGTCAATTTTTGTCGTAGAACAAAAATTTTTGCACTGTATTTTAAGGATTTCTTAGATCTATAAATCTGCATTCTCAACTAAAAACGTTACGGATCCTCATTGTGTGAATTGGTTAGTTATTGCCTTATAATTTATATTATTGACTATTGTGTCATATGATATCATTTTGTGTACTTACATGTGGTCTAGGAAACATCTTGTTTACTTTCTCTAAAAAAAAATATCTTTCTTCGTAAAATATATAATATACATTTCATTTAAAATAAAATGGACAAGATTGATGCGCATGATTTATTGAAGGATGAACTTGAATTTGAGTTAGCTTGCCGTGGTATTCGGAGCTTAGAAACAGTAAAAGTTATGCGTAAAGTCCTTAAACAAATTTTTATAAGAGAGCGGGAAGGCGATTCCAGTATAAACGTAGTTGTCCCATCTTGTTGTACGAAGGACGCCCTGTCCCAGGTTGAAATTTGTGAAAAAAATTGCAATTTCTACCACTATTACCTACATTAACCATCTACCTGCATGACGTATATCTCTAGAAAACTCCCGCTTGCGCAACCTAGGGCACGGTTTTTCAAATCTACCCACTAACCAAAAAAAGGCAAGCAACAAAGCAACATAGGAAAATAATTTTATTATTACGTACAAAAAAAATAGTTTTACGTATTACGGACGGGCGTGATTGTAGATTAAACCAATCAAACCAACGCTCCCTGCCACCAGAATTGTTTAATTTTTATCAAACACTATGGTCGGGATCAACCGGGGAATCGAACCCGGAACCACGCTCTGCTACCAGTTTGTACACGCCCCTAGCTGCCCCAGCCAAGGCTGACGGGATTAGGGCCCATGAGTAATCCCATCGACGAGCACCAGAGGAACGGGGCCAGAATATGGCCACGTGGAAATTCCTAATTACAATAAACCAGATGGGAGGACGCTAGAAAGACATAGTACTCACCATTATCCGAAGCTAACTTCGCACCAAGGCTTGGGCAGGCCGTGAGTGTATGTAATAGTGGATGGCGAGTAGTGTACAGTGTGGTGTGAATGTGTGGGGCCTTGTCAAGCATAGACGAACAGCCGCGGCCGAGTTCCAGGCTGCTCCAAAATGCTGCACCGCTTCAGACTGCTTCGGCGCCGGACCACAGTCACTTTCCTCGTTCGTCACGATTAACTAACTTACAGAAGCCACTAACTATCGCTGGGTATAAGGTTAACGCACAAAACGCACACAGAGTTTACGGATCAAAGGTCACTACCGTTTCGCGTAGCAACAGTTAGTTCTAGAATATCAACGGCCGCACTAGCTAATATTGCTGAATGCACTTATGCAGATTCTGAGTCAGACACAATAAGTCCCTGGGAAGCTCTCTAGCTAGGAATACGCGTCACAAATCCTAGACCGTATATTTACGTCCGCGCCTAATTATTCCGAGTTCCCGTCAAAATTGACAACGTGCAGACATTAGCACAGCTAACAGACGACTCCTCCTTTTTCGCTCGCGACCCGCGCGCCACTGCCACGCTCGGCCGAACTTCAACCGGTTTCGCGCCGAGTCGAGCGCCATCTGGCGTCGATTCTTGACAGCGTTTGGCACGAACAATATGTTTAACATACTTCCAGAGAAAATTAATGAAGAACATAAACTTTCCATCTTATTGAAGAATATACAGCCATATTTTCAACTTGCAGTTTGCAGAGATCAGTTTAATACCGTATCAGAATTAACATCGGTAAGAGTCTTAGAACGCACAAGAACTAACTGTGAAAATTTCCAAGAACCAACAAACACTAGTAATACTCTGGAGCCGGACCTATTATATCAAGGACACACTCTTGCGGAAGTTAATGAAGTGACAAAGATAGCATCGACATTTAATGTAAGAAATTTTGGCCTACAAAATATAAAATGCTGGATTTGTCGTGTTGCTGGTCATACGTTTAAAAACTGTACGCTCCCTCGTCAAAGGTTATTTTGCTGTAAATGTGGCAAATTTGCCTAAACGGTAAAAAATTGCACATGTCCGGGAAACGAAAAATAGGAGGTCATTACTCCTGCCAAATGACCTCCAAGACAGCTTCAGATTTTAAAGATGAAGAATGGCAGAATTGGTTAAAGGTTTTTTTCACATTACTTTGAAACTGGCCAGTTATGCAATATCGTATCAAAATGTAATGACAACCGTCATTACGCTCTTGTTAAAATTTTAAACAAATCTTTCTTGGGATTACTTGATTCAGGGGCCACATCTTCGGTGATTTATAGAGGCTTAAGTCGTAAATTCATGGTTTCGGGATTCTCAATCCATGAAATACCTCAGTTGAGTATTTCCATGGCAGATGGAACATCCTACAATATAAAATCAGTAATTTATTTGCCAATACTGTTTATGAAACGGTATAAAGTGGTAAAATTTTACATTATGGATAATTTAAGACATGATCTCCTCTTCGGTATGAATTTCTTTGATCATTTTAATCTTACCATTGGATATACAGAAAATATCATCAAACATGAAAATATCCTAAAATTATCTAATGGTGAATTAGCAATAATAAATATAAGCAATTCGGTTAAATCAAGACAGGAGTTGACAGAGGATCAATCGAAAAGCTTAAGCTTAGTGGTTGAAGATATAAAGTATTCTATAGGCGAAGGTATAAGAAGAACGAACTTGATAGAGCACCACATTGATACAGGAGAACACATTCCCGTTACTCAAAGGCAATATCCCTTTTCACCACATATCATGCAGGAATTAGAAAAGGAAGTGGATGAAATGTTGGCAAGAGACATAATTGAACCATCGTTTAGCTCGTGGCATTCACCGGTTCTTTTAGTAAAAAAAAGCATCAGGCTCTAATAGATTATGTTTAGATAGTAGACAACTAAACAAGACAACAAATAATGATTCCTATCCCTTGTCAAGAGTTACGTCTATTTTGGACAGTTTAAAGAATGCTCAGTATCTATCAACTCTTGACTTAAAATCGGCATTTTGGCAAATACCATTAGAAACTACAGTACTCGTAGTTTCTAATGGTATTTGCCAAAATTCCTGTCCATCTTTTGGCTACGCGTAGACATCGACGACCATCCGCGCGTCTATGGGTGCCTCTATAGGTCCCATAGCGGTAATGCCGAAACAGACCGACTCATCCACCACGTCCAAATGGCTACAGATTCCTTGCTACAGCAGGTCCCATCCGCAGAGATCGTGATCCTTGGCGATTTTAACGCCCACCACGCCGAATGGCTCGGTTCACGTTTAACCAATCATGCAGGGATGACTTATGACTTTGCCTTGGCATATGGTCTGACACAACTGGTTACTTCGCCTACGCGGATTCCAGATGTGGAGGATCATACACCTTCCCTGTTGGACCTTCTGCTGACCTCTTATCTGGACGGATATCAGGTTTCCGTCAATGCCCCTCACGTCTCTTCGGACCATTGTCTGGTCCGGAGTGTGGTGCCACTCACGCTCCCCTCGCGGTTGCGTTCTGCAGGTTGCCGCCGTGTTTGGCATTACAGGTCGGCGGATTGGGACGGAATGCGGTCTTTCTTTGCATCCTACCCATGGGGGCGGGTTTGCTTCTTACCAGATGATCCCAGCGCTGTTGCTTACTCTGACACTGACGTGGTGCTACAGGGAATGGAACTATTTATTCCATCATCTGTGGTACTCATCGGAGGCAGATCACAGCCTTGGTTTGGTCGCTCCTGTAAGACTGCATTACGCAGTAAGCAGGAGTGTTATTAAGCATAGGCTGCGGCTTCGGCGACTCAGGATGTAAACACCAGCACACTTAAAAAGAAGTATAACTTCGCCTCCAGTTCCTTCAAAAGGGTTATTGCCAAGGCAAAGTCAGAGTATATAGGCAGAATTGGCGAGAAACTAGTTCGCCTTCCTTCGGGAAACCGTGCATTCTGGTCTCTCGCCAAGGCTGTCCAAGGTAATTTCTGTAAGCCATCACTACCATGTCTGCACAGGAAGGATGACTCACTGGCCCAAGCCGCAAAAGACAAAGCCGACCTTTTAGGCTCCCTTTTTGCGTCCAACTCGACTCTTGATGACGGGGGGAAAACACCGCCGACCATCCCGCGGGGTGAGTGCTCTATGCCGGATGTGAGGTTCTCACAGCGCTCGGTTCGTAAAGCACTCCTCTCCCTGGACATCCAGAGGTTGAGTGGGCCTGTCGGAATCCCCCTAATTGTGCTGAGGACGTGTGCTCCGGAGTTGGTACCGGTCCTAACGCGTCTTTTCCGGTACTCTTACTCCCAAGGCGTAGTCATGAATTCATGGAAGACAGCTTTTGTCCACCCGATCCCTAAAAAAGGCGACCGCTCAGACTCGTCCAACTACAGGCCTATCTTAAATAAAACTAATTTTACGGATTTTATCGCGTATATTAACTTATTTTTATATTCCCGACGTTTCGGGTGTTTTCCAGCACCCGTGGTCACGGGGGACTGAGGTGTTTGACGTCCTGCTGTTAAAGTTAGCCCGGCTACCTTCAGTTTTTTATTAATTATTTTTATTTAAATTAGTTTTATATAAAATGTATAGTGTTCGCGTAAATTTAAGAAATCATCCTATCCAGGGCTATCGCCATCACCTCCTTGTTATCCAAAATAATGGAATCCATTATTAACTGCCAGCTCATGCGGTACCTTGAGGATCACCAGCTGATTAGTGACCGCCAATACGGTTTTCGTCGGGGTCGATCAGCTGGAGATCTTCTGGTCTACCTGACCCATAGATGGGCGGAGGCAGTAGAGTCCAAGGGGGAGGCGTTGGCCGTTAGTTTGGACATTGCGAAGGCCTTCGATTGGGTTTGGCACAAAGCGCTTCTTTCGAAGCTCTTTTCCTATGGGCTTCCCGAGAAATTGTGCAATTGGATCACGAGCTTCCTTGCAGATCGGAGCATCAAGGTCGTTGTAGACTGTGCATGCTCCGACTACAAGCCTATTAACGCTGGTGTTCCACAAGGCTGTTTGCTATCGCCAACGCTGTTTCTTCTGCATTTCAATGATATGTTGCTAACTGCTTACATTCATTGCTATGCGGATGACAGCACTGGTGATGCTCTATACACCGGCCGTGCCAATATTTCTCGGGAAAACGTCGCCGAGTACCGGAACAAACTTGTGTCTGAAATCGAGTCTTTGCTGAACAAAGTCTCGGATTGGGGGCGACTAAACTTAGTCCAGTTTAATCCTCAGAAGACACAAGTTTGCGCGTTTACCGCTAAAAAGAACCCCTTTGTCCTATCTCCTCAGTTTCAAGGCATTCCCCTTGTTGCCTCAGCTAGTATCGGAAGCCAAAGCTTTTTAGAGGCCAAATTGGCCTCTAAAAAGCTTGGCGTGCTCAACACTACGGGATAGTATTTCATGCCACTAGAATATACCACCCGCTACTAAAAGAAATATTCGTGTTATTATTAAATGAAAATATTATCCTTTTCTAAAGAGTTTAAACAAACATTTATTAGTGACAAAATACAACACTTTATACTAGTAATGACCACAGAGTAGAGAGAGAGAGTGCTTTTTATCATAGAGTATGTAATAATATACAAGAGCACAGATTATAGAAGGCGCAAATTTTTATTACAACACACCCCCTAAATTAATGCCTTCTAGTTGTTAACTTTTACATTTCAGACATAAAGCAAACAATAAGTTTAGTATTTAAGTATTCTTGACTACATGGCAAGATTTAATTCCAATTTTATCTCTAAGATAACAAAATTTTATTTTACACAAAGGTTTGGTAAAAATATCAGCATATTGCTCATCACTGCATACATAGTTTAACTCAATAATTTTATCATAATATTTTTCTTTTATAAAATGAAACTTAATGTCTATATGTTTACACCGTTTGTGAAAGTTTATGTTTTTAATTACATTTATAGCACTTTGATTATCTAGATTTAAGCACACTGATTTTTTATTAAATTCACCGATGTCACATAACAGTTGTTTGACCCACATAGCCTCTTTAGTAGCGGCACAGGCTGCCATGAATTCTGCTTCAGTGGTTGACAGGGCCACTGTCTGTTGTTTCTGACAAGCCCAAGTCACTGCTGCTCCATTTTTAATAAAGACATATCCCGTGACTGAACGTCTTGTGCTAGGGTCGTTAGCGAAATCTGCATCACTGTAGCCAACTATTACATTAGGCTCTGACATTGGTGTGTAGCACAGGCCATAACCTTTAGTCTCTTTTAGATACTTTAAAATTTTTTTCACAGCATTCCAGTGTGTTTCATTGTAAGAGTTTAAAAATCGACTCACCAGCCTTACTGCGAATGAAATATCAGGTCGGCTTACTGTAGCTAGGTGCATCAATGATCCAACTGCTTCCCGATATGTGATGTTCTTTTCTGTTTCTCCTTCTCCTTTCACCAACTTCATATGTGGCTCAACTGGAATACAGTTTGGTTTACAATTATACAAATTAAATTTATTTAATAACTTCTCAATATAGTTTGACTGATGTATAAAAATGTATTTGTCACACTTCTGTATCTCCATACCAACAAAATTTTTGAGTGAACAGATTTTCACTTCAAATATTGACTGTAAGTCATTAATCAACTCCTTTAAAGTTGATGTATTTTTCGCAAATAACAGTCCATCATCAACATACAAACACAGGTAACATTTTGCTCCATTAATAGTGCCAACATACACACACTGATCAGCTTTACTATTGGCTAGCCCAAACTTCTTTAAAACAGCATCAAATTTTGAATTCCAGCATCTGGGAGCCTGTTTTAAACCATATAAAGATTTATTGAGTTTACACACCTTATTAGCATCGCAGGTTAAGCCCTCGGGTATAGTCATGTATATGTCTTCTTCAAGCTCACCATATAGAAAAGCTGTTTTAATATCTAGCTGAATTATCTCAAGATTGTGTTGAGCAGCTTCTGAAAATAATATACGTATGGAATCGTACCTGACAGTTGGAGCAAATGTATCTTGGTAATCAATACCTTTGGTTTGTGAGTATCCTTTCGCACAAAGCCGGGACTTATAACGTGGACCTGAAGGTTCTTCTTTGATGCGAAAAACCCATTTACATCCAATTATTCGCATATTGGGAATTTTTTTAAATAATGTCCAAGTATTATTTTTATGATGAGAATCAAGCTCTTCATTTATTGATTTTATCCATTTTGTGGCATCAATAGACTTTAATGCCTTTTCATAGTTATCAGGAACTTCATTTTCTGATAATTGTTCTTCACAGCACAGGTAAGAACTCTCTTCTTGTTTCTGTGCATTTAAACATTGTCTTCTTGTTCTTACTGTTATATTTCTGTCAGGTGAAGATTCTACACTTTCATCGGGGATGTACTCGCCGTCTGACTGTGATTTATCTTCACTCACAGTGTCTAATGAGTCATCACTTGAAATTTCTTCTAAATTGTTACTTTTAATACAGCTTTCATTTGTAATTAATTCAATCGGTACAAAATCTCTTTTAACTGTTGACTCTACAAATATTGCATCTCTACTTTTTATTGCTGTTCTTGAGTTAGGTAATATGAATCGATATCCTTTTGAATTTTCACAGTACCCAATAAAAATTAATTTTTGTGATTTTGAATCAAACTTCTTTCTTTTTTCTCTTGGTAAGTGGACCATTGCCTCACAACCAAATGTGCGCATGTGGCTAACCTTAGGTTTCTGACCAGTCCACATCTCTTCTGGGGTTTTATAAAACAAAGATTTTGTTGGAGAGCGGTTTACAATGTAGGCAGCTGTATGAATTGCTTCAGCCCAATAGATTTTAGGTAAGTTAGCATTTAACATCATACATCTTGCTCTTTCTACTAAAGTTCTGTTCATGCGTTCGGCTGTACCATTTTGTTCTGGTGTATAAGGTGTAGTTGTCTGATGTATTATTCCGGCATCTTTGAGAAAATTTGAAAATTTTTCATTGACATATTCAAGTCCATTGTCAGATCTGAGAATTTTATGCTGCGGTTTAACTGATTCTCAACTTGTTTTTTAAATTCTTTAAATTTTTCTAGGACTTCTGACTTATTGTACATGGTATACACAAATATTTTCTTTGAGTAGTCATCGAGGAATGTTACAAAATATCTGGCTTTGCCCAAAGACTGAGTTTCCATCGGTCCGCAGACATCTGAGTGTATCAATTCAAGTAGGCCTTTGCTCTGAGACCCTTGACTTTTAAAAGACAAACGTGTTTGTTTTCCTTTCTGACATGTTATACACTTAACATTTTCTTTGACTTGACTTAACTTTAAATCTGCAGTGTTCTCGGTCAATTTCTTCATGCTCTGAAAATTTAGATGACCCATCCTTTGGTGCCACAGGTAAGTATCTTGCTCAATAATATCTGATATGCATGCATAGCCACCAGGCATGTTCAGTCGGTATATATTATTTATTAAACTTGCTGTTGCTACTATGTCATTCTTTCTATTAAGAATAACACAGCCACTCTTATTAAACTTCACTTGGCCACCATTATGAATAATCTGACTTACTGACAGCAGGTTTGTAGCTAGTTCAGGTACATATAATACATTTGTAAACAATATATCATTTTGTTGGCCTCTTCCGTCATAAACACTCAAGCTTATTTTTCCAGAGCTTAAGACAGACAGTGTTTTATTATTTGCAACTTTAATATTTTTAATCTGTGGAATTGTTTCTTCTATAAACAAATTATTGTATTTGGTCATATGTACAGAAGCACCAGAATCAACATACCAGGCATCGGAGTATTCAGAAGAAGCTATAAAGACGGCAGCATAAGACGTACTGTTTTGTTTATTTGTATTCTTCTGATCCTTATCGGATTTTGATGATTTGCACTCAGGACTTTTATGCCCATATTTGTTGCACGTATAGCAGCGAGGGCCTTTAGAAAATCTTTTATTTTTGTTGTGGAACTTCTGACTTGTAGCAAGAGCTGAAGAATCACTTTCATTTTGTTTAACATCTTGTAATAATTTTGATTTCACTGAGTCAGAGGAAATCTTCAAACCTGAGCTTTCAATGGCCATTATCATTGGCTTATAACTTTCTGGAAGGCCGGACAGCAAAAGTGTGCCTAGCCACTCATCGTTCACATTAAAGCCAATGTTCCTTAACTTATGAGCTGTTGTCATTATTTTACTAACATACTCCTCTACATTTAAACATCCAGCTAGTGTAGTATTGCATAAGTCACGCAGCAGACCAACTCAGCGTGTTAGCCCGGAGTCGTCGAAAACGTGAGATAAATTTTCCCAAACTTCTTTCGCAGTGCATGATTCTTGAATATGAACATAGTTAACAGGATCGACAAGTAGTATTATTTTCGATCTGGCTTTAGTGTCACGCTTTGTGTCAATTGCGCTTGAATTTACACATTCCACGCAATCCCATAATTCCTCATGTTGCAAGTACGTTTTAACAGCAAAACGCCATTTGGCATATAGTTATCACGGCCGGTTAATTTCTCAATTAATGCCAATTGATTACTTGATAACATGCTGAATTCGAAATAAAACTCAATATTTATTCTGAAAACTGAGCACGTTGCCTTTGTAGGTTAGGTCTTTTACAAAACAATAAATGATTTGATTTGATTTGATTTGAAACTGTTTTTGACACTGATTTAGTAGACTTTATGCACTGATTTTATTTATCGGGCTTTCTGGGCCCATAACCTGTTATTATTAAATGAAAATATTATCCTTTTCTAAAGAGTTTAAACAAACATTTATTAGTGACAAAATACAACACTTTATACTAGTAATGACCACAGAGTAGAGAGAGAGTGCTTTTTATCATAGAGTATGTAATAATATACAAGAGCACAGATTATAGAAGGCGCAAATTTTTATTACAACTATTCGTCCAAAAAAGAGGGGGGGGGTATGCTAAAAAACTAGTTTTAGTGTAAAATTTACTTCAAGTTGGCAACACTGGTCGCGCGGCTCGGACGTGTGATATACGCTGGTGAAACCAGGGGCACACATATTTACTCCTAATAAAATAAAATAAAAACCTAATAAATAATGATTTCTTATATTTACGCGAACACGTCGGAAATATAAAATAAGTTAATATACCCTACACAGTAATATAAGCTTGTAAATAAATAATTAAATTTCATAATACCTCTGACGAAGTTCCTGTACGTGAGTACATAACCGTCGCGTCTGTAGTGAGTGCGTGCTACATTTAAATGTAATCCTAGCGTCATGTCGTGTTCATTATCATTTGTATTCAGAGTTGAAAGAGGGGCTGCCTGCACCTGGAGGACTGAGAGCCAACATGATTTATGTCCGTGGAAAAGTGAAGAAAATTTCGTCCCTTTGTATGAAAATGTTCCTCCTTTTCGACGCGCCTTTGTTGGTTCTTAAAATTTGAATATTTCATTAATTTGATGTCTAATTTCCGAGACTGTAATTACTTGTTGAATTTCACCTTGGAAAAACTGTTTATTTTGAAATTACCTGTCCAGTATTTATATTTTTGGAAGATCCATGAATATTGAAAATATAAGCCGTGCTCGCCTTTTATTGTTAAGAAACTTGAATGGTACCTAAATTTGTTATATATATTTATAAAAAGTATAGTGTACTTTCCGATGGTCATCCCAAGTTAAAATATAATGCCATCAAAAACATAACTTGTAAAAAAAAAACATGTCTAGCAACTCAGTTATTCTACCGTAAAAAGTTGCAAGATCCATGTAATACCAAGTCAATTAATTTATTCAGTCCCTCCTTAAGGGACCTTCTGTCTAAAGCTAGCCCAACAACATCTTATAGTGACCATATCAATATTAAAAATCTTTTATGTTTTAAATAAATAGATTGACTTGGCCATTTCATCATATTCGTCAGAGGTTGCTTTTGTATTTTGATTCTTAATCGAACCATTTAAAAGAAGGTGGTGATTTCTTATTTCTTATTTCAAAGTTTTTAAACACTTTATTACTTTACTTCCTTAAAAAGGAAATATCGGTTAATTTGAAATTAATTAAAAAAAGTATGTAGATTCACCGTAATTTTTTTTAATTTACCGTTTTTTTATATCTCATTTACTAAATAATACAATTCAAGAAAAATAAAAAATAAACTGCCAATATAAACGTTAGCTTAGTTTATCATTTTAAAAAGGTTTATTTGGCCTTCCTTTACAAGCCCAAGCACGTAAGGTAGCCTAGGTGGGAAATAGAATGAATACATTATTGTCAAAGAGTAAAACTAATTAAATATACATATATATTTCACATATTATTTTAAGTAAACAGAAGGGTTCAATCAACTCGCTGCTTTCTTTCCGACGAAACACACAGTCGATGGAATTCCAGGAGAATGGTGTGTGCGATTGGGGGCATTTAATAAAGCTCTTCCTGTCAGGTGTTGAGGTATTACGAATGTATAAACAATGAAACTTTGTTTTAGTGAATAATTTAAATATATATAATATATATATATATATATATATATATATATATATAAGATAATATATGTATATATTTTATTTATTTATTTATTTATTTATGCTTTATTTGCACACCAAGTACAAAAAGGCGGACTTAATGCAACAGGGCATTCTCTACCAGTCTACCTCCAGGCTAAGCAGAGAAAATATTGTGGGTGCAAAGTGCAAACAGCTAAGTAAATAACATCTATGTCTACATAATACATACAGTATATATACATATATATATATATACATAAATATATATAAATACATACATACAAATATTTACTTACTACTACTTATTATACACATACTACTTATTATACATATATATACATAATTAAATATGGCAGTTTCTGATTCAAACTCCAATAATAAATGTAAAAATGAAATGGAAAACCACAAACTACTCCTGCAACGTTAGATAGTAATTCCAGAGCAAGCGTTTGAACGATGCCTTGCTCGTGGCTGCGCGTACACTGCCCGGTAACTCGTTCCATAATCTTACCGCATGAGAAGTAAAAGATTTGTGTAAAAAGCTAGTGTGACAGAGGGGAACATGGAGGTTAGATTTTTCCGTAGAACGGAGACAACGATTATGGGTATCACCTTGATACTGAAATTTGCATTTCAGATATTCAGGGACAAACGGATCGTGTAAAACTGAAAATAACGTGCACAGTATTCTGAAATGTCTGCGATAGCGGAGAGGTAGCCATTTTAGCTGAGAAATATAAGAGGAAATGTGGTCGTATTTACGTAAACCGAAAATGAAGCGTATGCAATTATTGTGAAGTCGATCCAGTTTGTTTAGAAGTTCTTGCGAGGCATCAGCATAGCAAACATCTGCATAATCTAGAATAGGCAACACTAAAGTCTGTATTAGCATTGCCTTAGTCCCTAACGGTAAAAAATTCTTGAGACGATACAGATGACGCAGAGTGTTAGTGACCTTTTTGCTCACTTCATATATGTGCGGTCGCCAGCTGAGGGTGTTGTCTATAATTAAGCCAAGGTTTTTAACTGTTGTTGAGTAAGGAACAATAACATTATTAAATATAATGGGAGGTAACGCCTTCATATCAATTTTAGTCAGTCTACGAGAACTACCAACTACAATGGCCTGACATTTTGATGGATTAACCCCAATGCCAAATCTGTTTGACCAATTAGAAATACGATTGAGATCACAGTTGAGCTTCTCAATCACATCATCGATACATGCCACCTCAGCTTGAGCATAAATTTGTAAGTCATCAGCATACATATTTTACCGTGTAGTGGCGGTGTAAGAATATCCACTGCCGCATATCGTCCCGTAGTTGAGGGATACTGAAACAGTAAATGGAGTGGCA